TTCTTATCACCTGACCACCACCTAGATGGTTAACTGGATTCACTGTTCTAGTTGTTTTAGTAGTGAGCATTAATCAAGAACAATTTGATTAAATAGGGACCGCCCATGTTAAGCTATAAACAAAATACATACAGGAAAAGGTGAGATATTTTGGAGAAAATTAAAAAGAAAACTAAAATGAATGGAGATTTTTTTGTGCATCCGGGCATAGATTATTGTTTATTATAATAGTATAATTATCATTTTGCTATATAAAAAAAAATAAGTGGCCTTGGTATCAAGGTGAAATTGTCTTTTTCTAAAAATTCATTAGTCATTATAATTAGGGATAATTTGATCCTTCAATCATGATCATACTTCTCTAAAAACAAAATATAATCAAGATAAGACTATACAGGGCTGCTAATGTAATGCTCTCCGAACACGTTTGTTTGTTGATTCCTTTCTTTGTTTCATTCTCTCTTAGTCATTTTGTCCATGCTGACACAGTTTTGCTGGTACTTAGCATGCAACACTCAGTATAGTTTTTTCGCAGCTTAACTTCAACACGATGAATGAAGGAGTACACACCCTTATAGCCGAGACCAGGGATGCTAACGGAAACATATACACATATAAGAAATAGGCTTGAACAGTGTTGATAAGGGTTCAGCCATTACTGGAGAGGATATAAGAATCAAACAAACTTAGCAGGTTTTTGTTGTCTTATATTTGTTACAAAGTCGTATAACAAAGAGTGATACAAGAATATTAAGAAAAAAAAAGAATCTAAAAAAAGAAACTCGAACAAACTTATCATCTATCAGCTTTATCATATTTTCTCAGTTATCAAACAGAACAACGCATAATTATCTAATGCAATAAAACAATCAAAGATAAATAGATGCATACTTGCCTTAAAGATGAAAGAAAAGAGGTTGATTTCTAATTTTAGAAGTCAATGGCACAGACCTGAGTGAGCAGAGGACTAAGATCAGAGAGGCAAACACCAGAGAGGTTAAAAAGGAGCTGGTTATGGGTGAAGGAGATTGAGAGAGTAAGGGATGAAGGGGGAGAGGGAAGGGGCGTGTGCTTTATTATGGGGTGTTAGGGGTATGTGCAAGAAAGGAAGAATGGTCGAGGAGCATTTTCCACGGTGATAAGGCCTTTTTATTTGGATAATCTGGTATTCCTTTATGCTACAGAACTGATTTTGTTTGTTATCATTTTTAATTATATTTTTAATTTTAAACTATAATTCATTTTTTTTATAAATAACTTATTACCAGATGAACTGATTTAAAATTATATTTTATAAAAACGATTCAAAATAGCCTCTTTTTTTTTAAATAACGTAGTTTAAGAATAATTTAAAATTTACAAAATTAAATTTTTATCTCTTAATTAAATTAATAGTTGACCCAATTTTATAGTATTTTTTTAATTTGTAAATAATTATTTTGAAAACTAACATACTTATAATTTTCTAAAATAATTTAAAAGTTAAAAAATAATTTAAGTAAATTTAATTGTAAGATATAGAAAGAAAAACAACAATATTATATTCTAACGTTACATGCTACCAAGAACAAATCAATTAATGACAAAAATTAAAAGAGATGGTGTTTTTATTATATACCATATTGTAAAACACTATTTATTATAAATTTTTTAATTTATATTATTTTATTTTTTAATATTTAATTTATTAAAAATTTATTTTTATGATTTATTGTTATTTATTTTTTATAAGATTATCCTAAAGTCATGACTCATGTTGTGAGTTTGAGAGGTTAACTCGCTTAACTTGAGATTTTTTTTTAGTATTATTATTTTTTTCAATTTCATCTTTTAACATTATGTTGATTAAAAACTAGATTTCAGGATTTTTTCAATTTATTTTTTATAAAGTTATAGTAACCTTATGACCTAAATGACAAATTTTACAAATTAGCTTGAGTTAACTTTGATTGTTTCATTGTGTATTTAGGTTATAGATTTAGTTGGTTACCTTAAGTTGAATTGAGTCAATTTTTATTTTTTTCTAATTAAATTTTTTTCAAGTTTAATATTTTAATTATAAATTAATTAAAAATTTAAATTTATAATTTTTATATAAATCTAACATATTAATTTGAACTGACACGTATATTTCAAAGTTAATATTAAAAAAATGAATATTGTTTTGAATTTTTGGAATGAAACGACAGTAAACGTGAGTCCGTATTAATTCACCAATCAGCACTTATTCCTACCCCGATCTCCAACACCTCCTCTGTGGGCCTCTTTCGTATCTAAACAATCCAATGATGACGATCTAATCCAACAATAAACGACGTCGCACAGCACGAAACGAGATCGCTCCTTCCGCCCGCTGTCTCCATGATTGTGTCCACTTTCCACGATGAGATAGACACACAATCAAGCGGCCTCAGAAATTGGTGGTCGATGACGTCAGCCCTCGAAAATTTATATAAGCCCAAGTGGCTTACAGTAGCTGGTTTTTGTTTGTCATTTATTTATTACTACTATTTTTTCGACGTCACTAGGCGTGGAGTGCTGTCAATTTTTTTCAGTCAAAGCAATGAAGGATCTTTAGAGTGCTTGCTTTCCATTTTGTTTCTTTTTATAAATTATTTGTGTTGCGCTTTATATTAAAATAAGATTTATGAATTAATTATTGTTATGGTTAGAAGCAAAATAATGCATTGTCAATTTAATGTTTTTTAAATTATTTTAGCATGTTCAAATTAAAAATAAATTTTTTAAAATAAAAAATATTATTTTAATATATTTTTTTAAAAATACTTTAAAAAATAATTGTTAAAACAATATTAAATATGCAGTTGACTTGCCAAGTTAAACTATAATTAAAAAAAATACTTTTTATCAATAATATAATAATAATAAGTTATAATAACTTTAATTTAAGACTATACTCTATAAAAATGACTCACACAACTTATTTATAATAAGAAATATGGTATAAGTCATAATAAATTAAAAATTGCGATTAAATCAAAATTTGAATTTATTTTTTAATTTAAGCCAAAATTTAATTTTAAACTAACATACCTATAATCTTTTGAGCTAAAAATAAAAAAATAACTTAAATAAGAGACATCAAGCATAACTTTAACAGGTTATGCTATCCATTGGTGCTCGATCAAAGTCTCTTTCAAATCATAAAAAAAAAAACCCTAAATATTTTTATGGGTGGTATGACACACAAATAGCCACCTCGTGAACATAAAAAATCATTAAAAAAAAACTCGGTCAAATTCTTATTTTAATTTCATTATTATATTTTCTTCTTGCCTGCTAAAGTTCAAATTCTACACAATGTTCTGAATTCGATGCATCGGCACACATAGTAGTTTTTTAATTAAATTGAATAGATAAATTTAGCCTTTGTGTTTTAAAATTAATCTCACAACTAAGCAAGTGTTATCTGGAAGAGATATTTTCAAATGAATAACACTAAGAAATCAAGACACGCTAGGAAGCAAATGATACAGCTGGCAGGGAGGGGGGGTGGGTTCATCTATTTATTCATTAAAAATAAATAAAAATTCTAAAGTAACGTTGGATTATTGTATTATAATTGAAAAAACAAAAAACATTATACATATTATATTTTGAAAATATAAAAAAATCATTTTAAAACAATTTTAAAGATACATTTGAATGTCTCTTTATGCCTTTTGTTTTAAAAATACAAAAAAATTATTTTAAAACTATACTCAAGATATAATTATTTTAAATCATTATATTTGTTTTTACAACTAAATACATTTTTTAAATATTTTTTTTTGTATTTCTTCTGGAGAAAGTAACTAAACTACTACAAAAGTCTATTCTATATAAATAACCAACCAACCACTCGCTGTCTCTTTAATTAAACTCGCTTCTTCCAAGCAAGCATTTAGCCACCTCTCTCTATCCCATTCTCACAGATCTACAGTTACGTAAGAATCATTCCTCATTAACGCAAACAACTAGTACTTCAATCATTCTCTCTCATTTTTTTTAACGTCTATTTTTGCACTAGTAGAAGCCATGGAAGTTGTTGATGCAGTGTCTGTTCACGGTAACGGGAAGGCTGAGATCGAGGATTTCGATATCTCGGCTGTGGTTCAACCGGAGCCTTTGCCTCCGATTTTGGCGGCGGAAAATGGAGACAAGCAAAATGGCAGGGAGATTGTGTTAGGGAAGAACGTGCACACCACGTGCCTCGAAGTCACGGAACCGGAGGCTAATGATGAATTTACCGGAGACAAAGAAGCGTATATGGCTAGCGTTTTGGCTCGCTACCGAAAGAACTTAATGGAAAGGACCAAATATCATTTAGGTAATTAATTGATTTATTTATTTTGTAACATAATTAGTGATACTACTTGTTATGAGTATGCTACTTTTTAATAGCTTATGTTAATGTTTCAATTCCAGAATCTTGCTTGCTATTAATTTATTGTTTCCTTTTTTGTATGGGAAAACTGGATCTAATAAAACGTTAGTTTCATGTTATGCTTTGTAGACATCAACGATTAGTGTATTCTTTTTTTTTAAAAAAAAAAAATTGTTACGTTTTTTGTTTTTTTGAGTTATTGCCTTAACTACGTTGCTGGTTGCTGGGAGAGCCTGCTTGTTTCTGTGGCTACTATGGAATGTAATTATTTTGAGTTCTAACATTCATTTTTTCTTCTTTAAAAAAATCTGTTATAGGTTATCCTTATAATTTGGACTTCGATTATGGTGCTTTGGGGCAGTTGCAACATTTCTCCATCAACAATCTAGGCGACCCATTCATTGAGAGTAACTACGGTGTCCATTCAAGACAGTTTGAAGTTGGTGTTCTAGACTGGTTTGCACGTCTTTGGGAGATTGAGAAAAATGAATACTGGGGTTACATAACTAATTGTGGTACAGAAGGCAATCTTCATGGGATTCTAGTTGGGTAAGTAGTTTTGTTGTGTTTCTTTCTGAATGTTTAAGGAGTTGAATTATGTGCTGGAAAAGAGTGAATTTCTAACACATCTCAATTGTTCAGGAGGGAAGTGCTTCCCGATGGAGTTCTTTATGCATCACGAGAGTCGCATTATTCTGTTTTCAAAGCTGCTCGTATGTATAGAATGGATTGTGAGAAGGTTGATTGTCTGATCTCTGGCGAGATTGACACTGCTGATTTTAAAGCTAAACTACTTGCTAACAAGGACAAACCAGCCATTATTAACGTTAACATAGGTTTCCATCTCTCTCTTCCATACCCACGTGCCTACACACACACACACACACACACACACTTATGCAGACACATGCCTGTGTCTATATGCTTGAGCATTATTAATTTGTTTTAACGAACCATTATTATTGCAGGCACAACTGTCAAGGGAGCAGTTGATGATCTTGATCTTGTGATACAAACCCTTGAAGAAAGTGGATTTTCGCAAGATCGATTCTACATTCACTGTGATGGAGCTTTATTTGGACTCATGATGCCTTTTGTCAAACGTGTAAGTGATTTTATTGACTCCTGGTAGAAGATGATTTGATTGAGCATAGGAAGGTGTGATTTGTGATGGATTCCTTAAGACTCTCGGAACATCATGACTCCAGTTGTTCTGCTTCACTTCAGAGTATTAGGAATTTAGTAGTTCATCTTAAATAACTTTGACAAAAGGACTGAATCACCTAGTTTATATGTTTCTGGGGCGTCACCATCCCCAGTGCACTTGGAACAATTTAGAATCTTTTATTAGATTTATGGTCATTTTAATTCTAGAGCCCTCTCTCTTTGCTGGCGGTATATTTGATATGCTAATAAATAAAGTTGTTAAACATTATGGAAATCATTGATGGAAATGGAAGAAGCAAAACATTATGTTTATGCCACAACTTGCAGGGAACAAGAAACGGCCACATTTCATTTTGCTAGTGTGACATCATGATGTCATGGTGTCCCTGTTTTCTCCCCTGTAGCTTTTAAGTATGTTGCTGTGACATGTTCCAATTTTCTGCATTAGGGTCTTGTAGAATTACTTTTGTTGCTAGTGTTGGGTCCTGGTTTTCTCTGCATTGTTCATTTTTGTTGGTGGTAAACAGGCACCAAAGGTTACTTTCAAAAAGCCCATTGGAAGCGTTAGTGTTTCTGGCCACAAGTTTGTGGGATGCCCAATGCCATGTGGTGTTCAGATAACAAGGATGGAGCACATTGATGTTCTCTCGAGAAATGTTGAGTACCTTGCTTCAAGGGATGCAACAATCATGGGAAGCCGCAATGGCCATGCTCCTATCTTCCTTTGGTACACGCTTAACAGAAAAGGATATAAAGGGTTTCAGAAAGAAGTACAGAAGTGTCTCAGAAATGCTCATTACTTGAAGGACCGACTGCATGATGCTGGGATAAGTGCTATGTTGAACGAGCTCAGCAGCACAGTTGTATTTGAGCGGCCTCTAGATGAGGAATTTGTTCGCAGGTGGCAGCTCGCTTGCCAAGGAAATATTGCCCATGTTGTGGTTATGCCTAGTGTCACAATTGAGAAGCTGGATGATTTCTTGAATGAATTAGTTGAAAAACGTTCAACCTGGTATCGGGATGGAGGAGTTCAGCCTCCTTGTATTGCAGCAGATGTAGGGTGTGAGAATTGTGCTTGTGCTTTGCACAAGTTAAGTATATTATCATGAGTGAGAATTAATCCACTCTATAGTAGTAGTTGTTTCATTATGTGAGAGCACAGTTATTGTTTTTGGAATTTAGATATGTTTTTGAGGGTTTTCCCCGTTTTACTATGTTTCTTTGTTTCCTTGTTTTCTTATCTACTGATCTCAAATTGCTCACAATTCAAAATCGCCATTCATATGGAACACTTGTTAGGATCACAGAAGCTTCATGGTGATAAGAGCAGGCTGCGGAGACTGGGCACTCAGTAACTGCTTTTTCTGGGTAGTTTTTCTGTCCGCCAGTGCACCAACCATCCGAGCAAGTTCTTGATCTCCCTTACTAATCAAGGCAAAAAAATAACTACCCGTTGTTTTCAACACATTCCATTGTCGAGCAAAACAAAGACAGCATAAACTTAACCAAGGATGAGTGGAGGGGCAATACAGTCTCAAATGGTGACTTATTCGGTCTATGTCCTTCTTTTCATCACTTCTGATTGCCTGCTGTTCATTAGCTATGGAATCTCTGGGAGTTTCAAAACTACCATAGGCTCATGTTAGAGCAAGAAGAGGAATCATGGGAGAATGTATAGCTTTTCTGCCTAGCTGTTGCCTTCTGTGGAACAATGAAGGATACAAGATGTGATGGTGGTCAGTCACATTTCTTATGCTTTGAAAGCGTCTTGATATGCATTTCTCTCTGATATTCTTCTGTTGTTCCAAATTATACCATAATAGCTGCCTGCTTGTTTCTGATTCAGTATTCGCTGTTAGAGTATTAGCTGACATAACAACCACAAAAGATCAGGAGAAGATTCCAAAGATACTACTAAGAATTCCGCAGCAGCTACCTTTATGCAAAATCTCAGTCATCTATAGTTACCTTGAATTTCAAGTCTCTTGTACTATCACATATGCATGCGTACTTGTTTTATTATTGTTTTTACGAATGAGAAATGGATACTCTAACAAAAACATATAATAAAAATATAAAAATAAATAAATGGTGTTATTACACCTGATTTAGAGATCTGGTTATAGGTTTTTAGCCAGTAAGTTTTATTTTTAAACAAAATAAAACTATAAAATAAAAACAAAATAAATTTTTAATGTGAATAAAGAACTAGGAATAACAGGATCTTTTAATAAATATATGTGTGTGTAAGAGAGAGATTTAAAGAAATTTTATTTAAATTTGCATAGAAATCAAGAGATACAAATTATTTCATTTGGATCCAAAAATATAGATTTATTTATATGATATTAGATGACAACGTAGAAAATTAAAATGAATTATCAAAGGAGATTATTAGATGACTTTAACAGATGATGCAAAGTTGGATGTGCCCTTTTAGCAGCAGCTTCTTTTCTTGCTCTTTCACGTCGATCAGCCTCAAGGAATGGATCATTCCCATCCCGTCGACGACGCTGGTCAACAAGATAGGCTGATGTGTACTTCTGCCTCTAAAACCTGGGAAAAGCCTCTTTATATAGAGAGGTTTGAGACTGGTTTTTTTTTTAAAAAATTCATAAAGCAAATACTTTTTTTTTTTTTGAATCGTTGAAAAAGTTATGTTATCCTTTGCAAGTTGGAAAAGCTGTGGTTTTTTTAATTTTTTTAATATTTTATATTTTTTATATTAGGATATTAAAATCATTTAAAAATATTTAAAATAATTAATTTAATGTTTTTTAAACAAAAAAACAATTTTAAAAAATACTATAATTAAAAAAAAGGTTAAACTATAAAATCAATGTCTTTTCATACAAAAAAAAGCCTGCAGAGCACTTTAGAAAGCATGTTCAACCACGAAAACAAGCATTAATTTAACATCATTGTAACCTTCTTCATCTCTCACCAAAAAAAAAAAAAAGAGGATAAAAAATGAAGCTACTGATCTCAAACATGACTGCTTCATTTGGTGTCCAGAAACGAATAGGCACTCAAATAAAATATTATAAAGATCCCGCGTTAAATTGTTTGCATTCTCTAACTCAGCTCGTTGATTGTTAACTGTCGAGTGATCAGGAGATGAGAGAAAAGAAAGAACTGGAAAAGATACTCTCCATCAAGAACTGCAATGAGCTGTACCGAAGAACCCTGCAAAATATTTCCACCAACCGCCACCAAAACTTTTCTTCTTTATAAAGAAAAGATTAGAGTATGTTAGTTTTTATTTTCGTAGTTTGGAAAAAATTATTTTTGATAAAAATTAATATAGTATTTATATATATTTAATTAAAATTAAAATTAAAATTAAAATTAAAATTGAATAAAAAATAATTTAATATGTTTGGTTAAAAGAATATTTTTTAAATTGATGTTATAAAATAATTAAAAAAGATATATATTAATATTAATAATTTTTAATTTAAATATTATAGATTTAACTACTGTTATCACATCATAAAATAAATAATATTTATATAAAATATTTTTTATTGTTCCATTAAAATATTTATAATTTCATCATATATGAAATCTATCCGATAGGATTATAATTTTCTTAGTTTTTTAAACGTGTAACAATATCAGGTAAAATATCATCAGGAACAAAATTAAAATTATGATTAAATTTTATAAATATTACATCATTAAATGATCTTATTTTAATTTTTTGAATAAAACACAATTAAAAATAAAAATAAAAATAAAAATTAAATTTTTTTACCTGAATCAAACCTAGTTTAATGTATTTAGTTTTGAATCAGACCAATACAACTAAAATAATGAAGAGTATTTCCACTGTTTATAAAAATAATAAAATCATTTTTTACTGTTTACTTAAGCGATACTCTACATTGTTTGGGATACAAAATATGTGGAAGCATTCTAGCTACTTTCAGTAAACTTGTGGATGAAACACATTTTATATGTATCCCACTGCAATAGTAAAGCGAGTTTTCACATTACTAAATGTTATTTTTCCGGTTTGTTTTAAAAACAAAAATTGTCAAATAAACAAACAGGATTTAAAAGAGAATTGACAGCCATTAGAGAGGAATAAAATATAGCTACCCTCAAGGATTTTGTTGATGGCTAAAAAATTGCATGCTTTTTTGCCATTCTAACTGTGCATGGATTAGAGGATAATCTCAGACCAAGGTGTACTTGTAGCTGGTTGAAACCAGGCAAGGAAAAAATATATTTCAAAGGAAGATATGCGGGGTTCAGTCCTACAATGCCAAAGGCCAATTATTCTGCACATGGAAGATTACAATAGTCATCCACCCAATTGTCTCATGAAGTGTACTAATTTCTATGCAACATGTGGTGAATAAAATCTGTCCTAAGGATAACATAGCCTGCTGTGACGGGAGCCATGAGCACGTACTCTTTCACAACATTTGTCTGCAACATAATATACATGCTTACATATACATGATGCCTACTTCGGTCGAGTTAATTTCTATTTTGCAACATTAAATTCTAGCAGATACAGTTCCCCAGTGACATTAGACCCTCTGGCTAAAGTTTGGGAAGCTAGGGCAGGGCTGCTTGTTAAGAGTCTGACCAGCGGTGGATGTCGGCGGCATGTGCATCTGCTGCTGTTGGTGGCGCTGCTGAGTTTGCTGGTTGCCAAAGGGTGGTAAGATCTGGTGAGAGGGAAATTGAGGAGATAGACCTCTGCTGAAAGGGTTTCCATTGACAGCTGTAATCTGACCAGTTGCTATCTTAAGCCGCTGCACCTCTTCCCTTAATGCTTCATTCAGAGCTGCATGGAAATGCATAAAACACCAATTCATCGCTACCCTAGATTCATCCCCTAAAACTACCGATAAGAAATTAGAAAGTGAACGTGTTTAAAATAAATAAACAAAAGCATTTTGGCAGCGTAAAATAGCAAAATAAATTTGTTCATATGGAAATAATAGAAGGTATTTCTCCTAAACAAATTTAAATTTTCTCCCATTTTAAGAAAAATCTCAAAGCATGGTATCAACATAATGCTTTTGGTTATATGATGCTGAGACACTATAACTTCTACTTTACAAACAGACCTCCACCCAAACCCACTGACACTCTCTTTAAGATTGGCCAATTATGGGATATTACATCAATCGATTGCTGAAAGAGGAATAAGTTTGCATATCACGAGAAGTGCTTAGTCCATGTCCAAGTATATTTCATTGTCAAACAATTAGAAAAATGTGATTATTTTATTTATATAGCCCCTATATGCCTCCAAAAAAGAAAGCATTCTTGTTCAAAATGCGTACCATCTCTAAGGTGTGCTTGTTGCTCCATAGCCTGTAATCGCAGTTTCAGTTCCTTATTCTCAACCGTCAACCCATTAGCATCTCTCTGCATCAATAAGAAAAAATACACACTAACATTAGCTTACCTCCATCTTTTCCGTATGTGTTTTTCCTGACTAGGTTTTTAGCAAGTACTAACAAATGTGGTCTCTATAGATTGTAAAATAGTGCACCACCAGGTGACTGGAAGGATATAGAAAATTCTGCATAAATTAGCACAATTTTGAACAAGAAATCCATATCATATGAAATCAATTTCAAAAAAGCACATGCAAATGGAACAGGAAATATTGCAACATTTACTAGAACTATATGGAACCTGAGCACAGTCCACAATTTATATAAGTTCAATAAATATCATTGCATCTTACAGGAAATCCACAGATATGGAAAGTATTTGCCAGTTTGAAAATAGGAAACCCATCATTTTAGGAAAAGTCATATACCTGTCTAATACAAAGAATAGTACATATTTGTCAAAATACATTACGGTATCGATGAATGCACAATCCATATTAGAAAACACAAATATTGTTCTGAAGATTAATAACTAGATAAGAGTGTAAACAAGAATCCTAAATAAAGCTGTAAATAACAAAGATTTTAGAAGCACACTAATCAACTTGACAATGGAATCTTGTCTGCGACTTAGATAACTTTCCAAACAGGGAAGTTTATCTAAGATATTTTAAGAAAAACAATCCAGATTCAGGGAGATGTTAGTGTAGGCTCCAATTTTATGCTAAATTTAGATGTATTAAAAAACTTGAAACAGAGCTTTGAAACGCTACTTTCTATGCATGGTGAATGCAGGATTTAATTTCATGTCCTCAAAACAACGCCCAAGGGAGAAAATCATCTAAGATTACTAGCATCTTCACTATTGGTTCCAACTGATAGATTAGGGACAGACATAATAGAAGTCAAGATGATTTGAAATCTCACACGGGTTCAGTACATTTCACAATAAATTTTAAAAAAATTCCAGCTAACCTTTCAGTTAAGTTTCCAGGGGTGTCTCGGGAGCTAAGGCTGATAAACACTTCCATGGGGGGCATTTATGGGCATGCAGAAACAGGGCGGTGCATAGTCACATTCATAGTTTATATCTATTGAAATTTCATTTGGATCCACATGTACTTTGCATGTACATGTGGTAGCACAAGAACTACGATATGCAATATCTTGGAACGACAGCAGGGCACATGCTTAAGCAGATAGTATTGAGTCAGGCTAGTGAGCATTGAACTCACAGTTTTGGCTAAAGTTTTGAAATGATCGATTAATCACACAATTCTTCCCCACTTTGGCTGGAAAACAAATTTCTTGCTCAATCTTTTTTATGAAATCATTCCCGAGTGTGTCCACGGTACGAACAGGATTTTTAAGTCCTGTAAAATTTTGGCCAGTAACCATTGTTTTTATTAACACAGATATCTGTTGTATGATAACACAAGCAGCCATTTTGGCTGACCCCAACTTGGCAAAGCCAGGTAACTTCTTTCCATCAAATCAACCCATGAGATCACGGTCATGAAAAACTGTTCACAAATGCAAAAAATGTGATCGGATGTAAACTTCCTATTATGGACTGGACATAGTTGAAAAACAAATAAGGTAGCATGTTGAGGCAAATGCCTCAACACAGCCCAATCATAAATTACCGTAGCTTCTATACTTTTCCATCCAATTACACTCTAATATCTCTCTCAAAATGGTATCAAATGAACTTGCAATCATGAGATCAAAGTCGTTAATCACTCCATCAAGAGATCAGAGTCATCAATCAAGGGATCCAATGATTGGTTACACGTAAGACGTAACAAACAAAATATTGCAGGTCCATGCATTCCCATACAAAAAATCATAACATAAGAGGGCAATGAAGCACAATTTCAGAGAAAGAAACCAAATCTAATTATATTTATCAAGTAAGTTAGATAAAGTCATTAAACAAAAACAAAATCCACTTATACCTGCAGCATCGTGAGCTGTGCGGAGAGAGTGGTTGCTTCAGTCTGAAGCGTCTGGACCTTCCTCTCTAGCTCACTAGTGTATTTGATTTTCCTCTCTTTCGACCGAGCTGCAGATTGCCTGTTGGCAAGAATCCTACAAAACAGAGACATTTCATTAAGAAATCCTCATTACTCCTCATTTTACTGAGCAAAATGACAATTTGAACATCAAAAAGAAAAGCCCTTAGAGATTACAAAACTAATAACATCACATAAGTATTCTTCTATCTTTCTACTGTAAAAAAGCAATAGTTAAAACATATAAGATATAGCTTAAGAAGAAAATTAAAAACAGTTAAAATTAATCATTAGAGATTAATTAGACAAAGAAAAAGAAAAGGACAAACCTTTTAGCTCTTTTGGGATCAATCAAAGCTAGCTCTGCAAGTCTATCAGGAGCCATAGCTTTCTTGACACCATCAATCATGAGAGACTCTGCCTCAAACGACCCGTCCATGGAATAACTATGCCTGTGGTGGTCCGCAGCCCTCTTTTCTCCCGCAACCGCTTTCCCACCCAACTTCTCATCTCCACCGGCGGCAGCCCCGCGACTCAAGCCATTAAAAAATTCGGAGTCCATAGACAAGCTCCGGAGGTGATTGACGGGTTTGAGTTTCTGATTCTGGCCGTTGGATGTGGAGTCATCGGACAAGGAGTCAACAGCCCCGGGAGCGGCAGGTGGAGGGTGAGTGGTGGTGTTGGGAGTGGGGAGGTCGTCGAGAGTGGGGAGGTCGAAGTCAGAAGCATCAAAGACGAGGAGGTCGTCGAAGCGGAAAGAAGTGTCGGAGTGGGCCCTTCGGTGGTGGGTTCCACGGCGAGGTGTCTCAGGCATCTGCTCTATGTCCACTATCATTGGCTGCTTCCCTCTGAACTTGGTAGGTTCCATTGTTAGCGGTGGTTTTGCTGGTGGGTGAAATGCAAAGATTGAATTTTGTTATAGTAACTATTATATATAGTTGTATACTGCTCCACTTCAGACGGGAGGGAGGGAGGGGGGTTGTTTGAAGTCTGGACATTGTTTTGTTACCTCGGTTTCAACCT